GACTTGGAGTGTGGGTGTTGGCATGAAGTGTTTTGCGAGTTAAAATAAAAACGACACCTCTCACACCCACGCCCTTGTAAGAAAGTTTTACACAAATCAATAAAGTATTTATTTTTTCCAGAAACAAAGCTTCAATTAATTTTGTTTCCTCAGTGGCAAATCATCAAAGGTTTTCTTTCAAGATTGAGGATGGATGTGGATGTTTAATCATCTCTTGATCTACACCCACACTGATTGAAATATATTATGATTAACATCTTTGTTTCATCGACAGATCAGGGTTGGAACCGGTAAGAAAAAGATAAAACGGTCCGGTCCGGCCGGTTGTTAATCATTTCTAAACCGGTGAAATTCCCGCAAACCGGTCAATTTCCGGTCAAGCTTACCGCTTTAAAATGGTTCCAAACATCGGAAAGTACGGTAGAAATGGATAAAGTTAATTCTAGTTGTAAATTGAATTATCTAATATTTAAATAACATGGTTGAAACAATATGATTTAGTTCCTCGAATCATAAGTACAGAAAACTGAAATCGACCTAGGAATAGCTTTTTTTATAAGCATATCTTAGAAAATTTCAATATTCGTACTTGAGAAAATATTATTTGACTTTGTATGAAAGTTTTAGGAAAGATATGCATAATCTTTATAATCATGAAGCATCATCATTTTTTCAAAAGGATATTAAGATTTTCCTAGCTGATTTATATAGTACTGCCTGGTCTATTTCAAAACTGATAAAATATATGCCTAATTGTCTTCGTATCTATCATAGTATTACAATCATCGCGATAAATATCGATTATAAACTGAACAAAATTTTTAATATTGACACTATCGAAAGACTTTCTGGACATATGTGTATAATGATGAAGAATTTGTTCTACTTCATAGCAAAATACATAGTTCTTCTTACCGAATAAGAGCTAAGTAAAGATAATATTTTTTAAATTTAAACCGGTAAATTTCCGGTATTTACCGGCCCGGTTGATTTTCTAAACCGGTCCGGTTCCAACCCTGCGACAGATATTAACAGTAAGTGATAATTCATAAGGCAAAGCATATGTTGACGAACTCTCTCTTTCACAATGACAGCAACTGTATCGTGCTTTAAATTTTGCTCCTGCTGGAATTACATTAACAGCCTTTTAAACTTGTAAATATTGTGATTATATGCTTTCATGTGTATCAAATACCAAAGTGTAGAACAGATGGAAAATAAATCAAACAATGTTTTTTTGTTTCTTTAGAAAAAAATTTGTTGTGCCATTGTTTTCCATAGTTAGAAGGCTTTTTTTTTATTTAAGCTCATCAGATAATATTCACTTAAAAAATAGTCTACAATCTAAAGTATTGTTGTAGAGTTCGTTAGAACTCCGAACATGTCTGTTCGAGATAATCAGTGTTCTATATATTTTCTATATAGTGGTAGAAAATCTTATGTAAATGGTGCTTTTGAATTCTTTTACACTCTAGTACATCGTGTTTGTGTTGAGAGAATTGCTTTACATCAATATTGCTCATGTAAAAAATAAGAAGCTAGAAAAATTATTCTTTTTCAATTCATGAAAAAAAATGATGGCCTATTTATCGATGAACGTTTCAAAAATTGACTTTAATTCAAAGTTTTGATTGATCATATAGAATAACTAAAATTTCATCAATGTTTATTTATAATTTTATCAGTTCATGTTTGTACAACATGCCTATGAAACAGTTCTAAATATTTACATTAGCAAAAATTTCAAAACAGTTTTTAAAAATTTATAAAAGGGATCATACAAATCTACAATTAAGATCTCTATTAAAACATTCTCATCAGAATTTAGTTATCTATATCAGTAGAATCTGTTAACAGAAAATAAAAATTTAAAAGAAAAAATGTCGTTTGAGATTTCAATTAGACATTGATCACTTTAGATTTTCTAAATGAGATTAATTTCTTTTATTAATGACTTTTCGATATTATAACGTACTCAATTAATTAATAGTTTTTTATTCTTACCAAGATAAGGCATTTGACCATGTGTAACAAGTTTATATAATAATATACCATAGGATCATATGTCAGATTTTATTGTAAATTTTCCATATATAGCTGGTTCAAAAGCTGTTCATTTTATTGGAAATTTTGCTCCCTAAAAAACAAAAACAAAAATAATGATTAACTAATAAAAATTTAACAAAAAAAAATGCAAGTTGTTTGTTTTATTAAATAATGAAAATCATTTCGAACAAATAGCTAAATGAAACAAATCTGAACAATTCGTAATAGAAGTCTTAAGATATTGATTAGTTATTCTTCAGTCTCGATCTATGTCTAAATAAAACTAGATATTTTAAATAGAATCTAGAAGAGTTCTGTTTAAATCTACTTGTCGTACTGAGAAAATACTACAATCAAAGCTTTTCACGAAAAATTTGATTGAACTTTAACAACGTTCATTCTCTACACTTCAGATTTCTCATTAATGACTAAAGGTTCAAAGCTTCTATTGACCATATAACTCGAGTTCTATAAAACGCGGCAAAAGAGTTTCTTGTTGATTATATTTAATGAGTATTCGATCTTCTATTAGAAATTGAGAGAAACAGGGAATAAACTAGTTTTATAAACACAGTAAAAATCTCTCACAGATAAACACCATCGAAACTTTTGAAAAGTGTTCAATATGAAGAGGTGTTTATCTACGGAAGATGTCATATATCTTACTACACAATGGTGTAAAGTGTCAGAAGATCAAATCTTTTATTCGTTCCGAAGCAACCAGACTCATTTTTTTTTGTTCACTTCTTCTATTGAATCTATTTGAACTGATCAACTCTTTAACCAAAACAAAAGAACAAAAAAAAAAAACTAACGAGGGAAGTACCCAAAGTGATTCACCGCTTTTGAGCTCATCTTTTGGGCGTATAGAGGGAATCTCTAGACTAGAATAATCCTAAAAGAATTCGAGCCCATACGCCTTCTCTACAGAGTTATAGCCTATGGCACGGTATGTGCAAACAAATCGACTGGCGATATTTCGATTTGAAATTTTATCCATAGATAGATCTACTTGTAATTAGAGTGCTCTGAAAATTTCAGCTCAAAAGCATGTTTCCTCCGCGAGATATTGAATTTTCAAAAATCACTCGAATCTCATGTTTTATCGACATTCAATATCTTGCAAAGGAAACATTCTTTTGAGCTGAAATTTTCAAAGCATTCTAATTACAAGTAGACCTATCTGTGGATAAAATTTCAAATCGAAATATCGCCAGTCGATTTGTTTGTACATACTGTGCCATAGGCTAAAACTCAAGCAAAATGACTATAACTCTGTAGAGAAGGCGTTGAGCCCGAATCCTTTTAGGATTATTCTAGTCTAGAGATCCCATCTATACGCTCCAAAATATAAGCTCAAAAGCGGTGAATTACTTCGGATACTTTCCTCGTGAGTTAGAAATTAGCATATTACCCTATGCATTATTGAAGTTTGTGTTATTTCCTTACTGGATGTGACATCTGTCTGATTATTTTGATTGCATGAAAACAATGTCCAATTGTATTCGTTCTACGGTTGAAAAAATAATTTTCTCGTCACACATTATTATTACAGTCATTAAACTCCAACATGGATGCCGAAGGTAAAAAAGTGCTTGTATGCGATAATGGCACTGGTGTAAGTTTTAAATTCATTTGAAATTTGTTTTTGTAAGAAAATAAATTTATTCTAGTTTCTAAAATGTGGTTATTGTACATCAAATTTTCCTGATTTTGTATTTCCATGTATGGTTGGACGACCATTGATTCGTTCTCGTGCAAAAGTAAATAATATTGAAGTTCAAGATATAATGGTTTGTGATGAAGGTAATTACGCTTATTTATTTGTTTTTTTTTGGTTGTTTTTATTTATACTCTATTTTTTCAATTCTTTTTCTAGCACAAAAAGTTCGACAAATGCTTGAAATAAATTATCCCGTTGAAAATGGTATTGTAACTAATTGGGAAGATATGAAACATATATATAGATATTTATTTGGTCCAAAAAAAATGAATATTAATCCTAAAGAAGCAAAAATTCTCTGTACTGAAGCACCACTTAATCCAATCAAAAATCGTGCTGAAATGTTACATGTTATGCTTGATGAATTTCAATTTCATGAATGTTCATTAGCTTATCAAGCAATTTTAACTTTATATGCTCAAGGAATTTTAACTGGTGTTGTTGTTGATATTGGTGATGGTGTTACACATGTTTGTCCTGTTATTGATGGATTTTGTTTACAAAATTCTATTGCAAGACTTAATATAGCTGGAAGAGATATAACAAGATATTTAATTCGTTTATTACTTCTTCGTGGGGTAAAAACAACAAAAAAAAAGAAATAGTTGATTTTTTTT